TAATTACAAAAAAAAAAAATTGATTATTATATTTACATGTTTATTATTTAGGGCTAGGGGCCTACTAGAAACCATCAAAAGGCTTTTGATTAAGACCCCTAGTTACATTTTAAATTACAAAATAAGGATCCTATTTACAAACAAAACTAGGTGACAGTGCTTCAAGTGAGGTGCAATATGATAAAGTATTTACATATAGTGCTACAGTAAATAAAATGTTATGATCACAAAAGTGTATTATTATTAATTTATATAAAAATTTGATATTGCAGATGTTGTTTTGGTAGTAGTTTTTCAGTTATTCAGTATGTAGTATTTTTTCGACTTTTTCTTGAATATATAGTAAGATGCTATATTTTTAAAGTTTGGGTCAAGATTATTCCAGATATCAACTCCCTTGTTAGAGAGTGAATGTTTAACATAGTTTGTTCTTTGATAAGGCTTATGAAGTTTCATAGAATTTCTTGTATTATGTCTATGAACTTCACTATTTGAAATATAGTAGTTCGCAAAAAATTCAGGTAAGTTTTTTAAGTGATGATATCTGAACATGAACAAACTGGTAAGATAATCGTTTAGTTTGCATAAGTTCAATATATTTAGGTGCTGAAATATGTTTTCAGTATGATCTAAGTGAGAGCTAAAAGTCATTAAACGTACAATCTTCTTTTGAACATTTATAAGTTTTTGAATTCGTTTTTTATATGTATTTCCCCAGAGTAAGTTGCCATAAATAAGATATGGATAGACCAAAGCATAGTAGATTAGTTTTAATGTATTTAGGTTTGTATAGTGGCGCAGTTTTGCTATTATTCCAGATGACTTCATAACTTTTTTCGTTACCGCTTCTATGTGATCGTTCCAGGTTAAATATTCATCAATAACGACACCTAAGAATGTAGTGCTTCTAACTTGTGAAACCGATTGATTATTTACAGACAGGTGCAATTCCTGTTTCTTTTTATTTGGAGATTTAAACACAATTAACTTAGTTTTTGTTGTATTGATAGACAATTTATTTAAATTTAGCCATTCAGCAATTTTATTCATTTCTACTTGAAGTGTTTCTTGAAGTATTTTAATGTTGGAATGACTATAAAGTACACTTGTATCATCGGCAAATAGAAGAATTGAAACAGTTTTAGTACAGTTTTGGATATCATTTATGTATAAAATAAAGAGTAGTGGTCCAAGTATCGAACCCTGTGGCACACCTGTGAGTATCGATTTTTCTGTAGATTGCACTGTGTTATATTTAACTATTTGTTTCCTATTTCTTAAATAACTTTCAAACCAACATTTTGCAATGCCTCGGATCCCATAATATTCGAGTTTCCCAATCAGAATCCTGTGATCGATAGTGTCAAAAGCTTTTGACAAATCAAGAAAAACACTAGCTGTGTATTTTCCTTCATCAATAGCCCTTGTTACTTTATCTATAAGTTCAATGATAGCATGTTCTGTTGACCTATTTTTTCTGAATCCATATTGATGCTTGGATAAAATATCATTTTCTTCAACAAAATCAATCAGTCTTTTGTACATTAATTTCTCCAATACCTTAGAAAAACATGTGAGAACAGATATTGGTCTGTAATTTTCAAATTTGTTATTTTCATTAGCTTTGAAAATAGGGGATACTAAAGCTATTTTCATTTGGTCAGGTACAATCCCCATAATAAATGTCTGGTTGTAAATATGAGTTAATGGTTTGGATATATACTTGTAAATATTTTTTAATATTTTGGCACTGTAGCCATCGAATCCTGGACTTTTGTTTGGATTTAGATTTTTTATCTCGTTTTCAACTTCATGCTCTTCTATAGGTCTTAAAAATATGGAATTTAGGTTTTTGTTTGTAAGATATTGTTCATAAGTGGAGTTTGATCTGGTTTTTATTTGTTTTGCAAGCTTGGGTCCTAGATTCACAAAATAATCATTGAATTTATTAGCAATTTCAATAGGGTTAGAAGTGGTACTTGAAGAATTGCTCAATAAAAATTCCTTTGGTAATTCCTTCTTTCGAGTAGGTTTATTAAGTAATTCATTAATTGTTTTCCAGATCATTTTTGTATTTTGTTTATGTTTAATAAATTGTTCCTCGTAATACGTCTTTTTGGATATTTTTATAACATGATTTAGTTTGTTTTTATATTTTTTATAAACGTTTTCATTTTTTTGGCTTGGATGTAGTAAATACTTTTTATAAAGTTGATTTTTTTTCCTGACAGATTTTAGTATGCATTTAGTCATCCATGGACTTTTAACTTTGTTAACAGCTTTTTTATTTGATACTTTTTTGAGTGGAAAATTTGATTCATAATTTTCTGAAAATATTTCAGAAAAATTTTTAAAACATTGTATGGGATCACTTTCAATTGTTACACTATCCCATGTTAATTCCTTTAATGATTCTGTGAATAGGCTTATGTTATTGTTGTTGATCATTCTTTTGTAATAGCTACCACTGATGTTATCATTGTTTGTATTATAAGGTGTATTTGTAGTGCACATATGAACTACAGGTAAGTGATCTGAAATATCACTAAAGATTATTCCATTTATGCTTGTGTCAACTTGTTGAATATTGTTTGTAAAAATGTTATCAATAAGTGTGGATGTGTGCGCAGTAACCCGTGTTGGTTTTGTGATAAGTGGATAAAAAGAAGAGGTAAATAGTTGCTCTATAAATCTGTTTGAGTAATCACAGGATTCCGATTTAAGTAAATCGATATTAAAGTCACCAATAAGATAACAAATTTTATTTTCCTTGTCAATAGTGTTCAAAATGCCATTCATTGCTATTTCAAAGGTATCAAATTTATTATTAGGTGGTCGATAAATAACACCAACAATTATATTTTTACCAGTTGATGCAATTATTTCAATAAAAATTGATTCAATTACATCATCAACATTTGTACTTAAGTCATTTCTCAACTTATAATTAATTTCTTCAGTCACATATATGCCAACCCCTCCTCCTTTTTTATTTGATCTGTTTACGCCAATATATTTATAACCTTCTAATCCAAAATTATTTGCGTTATCATCATTTAACCAAGTTTCAGTTATTCCTATTACTTTAAATTTCTTATTTAATGTACTTGTTAATTGCTTAAACATATCAAATTTATTCGATATACTCCGTATATTTAAATGGAAATAGAAAAAAGGTTTTCCGAATTTTCATTTATTGATTGTTCTTGGAATTTGGCCGGTGTATAGTAATTGCAGTTAACAGTATCTAAATTATTTAGCATATCCAAATTTACATTGTTTTCACTTAATGCTACATTTTTATTGAGTGTAAATGGATTTATTTTTAACTGATTTAGTCTATCCATATCTGATTTGGAGAAGACATCCCCCGTTTTTGTTTCATTATGCGTAAGGTTTGGAAACAATAATAGATGGCATTTTTGACATTTAAATACTGAGTCTGAGTTATTAATTGTTTCCTGTGAATCTAAACAGTGCGGCACACTATGAAACAAATCGTGACACGTAACGCACTGAGTAAATTTTTCGTGTTTCATAATTGTTTTAAGACAAAGAGAACATTGAGTACTAGACATAGCAGGCATTTATATATCTGTTATATTGTTTAGTAAGACAGTGATATTGAATTGAGTATTCTGATAAGGTAAAACGTGTGTGGAATCGATAAGTTATGCTCGTGCGAGTTCTGATCAAATTACACTAGACTGTTGGTTTATACAACACCCCGTCAATAAAGAGTTTATCCCTTACCATATTTACTTTCTTCCCCGCAGCCTTTGCTTTTTTAAGTTCCGGATATAAAGTCCTTCTTGTTTGTTCGATCTCTGTGGGAAACTGTTCAGATATGCCAAAGTTTGTGCCTTTAAGCTTTTTAGCATTAAGTCTAACGAATTCCCGGTCCTGATGATAGTTAAATTTTACTATTATTGGTCGAGGTTTACTCGGCTCATTTCTTCTCTTTCCTAAACGATGTGATCTGTCTATTTTGACCGTTTCTTTCGCATTTACCATACCGATTTTCTCTTCAAGAAGATCATGAATTATCTTTGTTGTATTTTCGTGCTCTCTCTCTTGGATATTATAAAATATCAGATTATCTCGCATTGATCTCGCTTGGAGATCAATGACGGCATTGTGTAGCTTTATATTTTCGGCTTCTAATTTGTCGATGCGATCGGACGTTTCTTTCTGGATCTTGACCTTCCTTTCACTTTCTGTTTTCAGATCATTTATTTCTTCGTGTGCGTAATCTACCGAGTGCTTCACTTCGTTTAGTTCTTTTTTCATCTCGCAGATTTGTGCCTCAATCGTGTCGAGTTTATTTAGCTTTTGGTTCATCGTGACAATCAAACTGTGAATATCTTCAAGATTTATTGCTTTATGTTCTTCTTTTTCACCCCTTGCCATCGGCGAGTCACTCATCTTTGGTATTTTAGATCCTTTGTTTTTCATGGGCGTTTTATTTAAAGATTCATTCAAACTTTTTATAGAGCGTTTGGAAGCGTGTGTTGGTAACGCCATGACACCTGACACGTTTTCACTATGAAATACGAAGCGTCTGCACCGCAGGCTAGGGATTACCTAAATGATTACATATTACTGTGAACACCACAAAAGCCAGTTTATTATCGCCACTAATGAAAATTAGTACATTCTTTCGGGGGTTTTCCCTGAGCTCAAATTGTTGCAAAATATGTAATAATCGCTGCAAATTGTCGCAAAATCTCCAATTACATGCAATTTTACATCCATTTACTGAGCTTTTCAAACTTGAATATAAGCTATGTAACTGATCGAGTTTCGTTACATGTTAAACCAATCAAAATGTGCATTTAAATTAAAAGTGCGAGCTAATATAAATATTTGGATTAGTGATTTTAGCGACGTAGCAAAGTCATTGTTTACATTTTGCGAATATTATATATATATATATATATCCATCGTACTCACTTTCTAAATATATTTGACATTTTTGCATCGTCATTCATTTCAGTCAACACGCCAAGCGCTTGGCTTCCTAGTACAACTCGTCTTCGAAAGGGTTTGTCCATTGTTTGACAACATTTTCATTATGTTGTTTCGGTTTGTTTCCATTGTGCTGATGTTGAGAGCATTTGAAATATGCTCCAGCGAAAATGCACCGACACCCAGCTACGATCTTTGCGATATTGGTCCGGCTTTAACCAGCCTAAATGGGAGCATTTATGCCACGCTCGGCATGGATTGTAGTAGGGTTATTTTAGCACCAAAGGGATACCGAATTGAAGTGAATATCACCAAGAACACAAAAATATTGGAAGCGAAAGCTATGTATATTGTTGACGGCGCTACGAAATTCCACAAGCTCGAGCGTGCGGGAATATCTCGTCATCGAGTGTTGGAGAATCATATTGCTATAAGTACCAGTAATGCTATCTTAATACACATTGATAAAATCACCTCGACGAATACAAATGTTGAAATCACTTATAAAATGTTTGAGCAACCGCCAGAACGTTGCATATGTTTGCCTGTGACCCATGGCGAAACCGTTTGCTCGTTTACTTCCGTATTCTATCGAGATGATAGCCTTACTAAAGAGTGTACTGTCGTTTGCGGACAAAATCGCTTTATTGCCAACCGATATTTTTTTCACGATTTCAAAATGCAATGTTTTATGGGCGATCCTGAACATGATCTATCCAATAAAGGCAAATGGAATGCTATTGGCCAATTTGAAACTTTGTTTGATGATCAACTCGTAACATGCGCGAGAATTTTCCCAGCTACCCGAATCAAACTTGGCTATAAATTTACCTATACTAATGTGTCATGTGTGCAGGTCGACGCGACGGCATTTGAAGCGAAAATACAGGAATATATTTCAAATATACAGTCAGTTTCCAATGTAAGTCAGTGTTTTAAAAGCCGGAAACCACAAGATAATACAAATTGTAGTGTCGAACGCGTGAACATCACATGCGAACCTGCCTCGTCCCCAGTCGCTTGCTATCAAATAATTAATTAGTAAAAGACGAAAATTAATGAGGCGCGCGGGACGATGGGAAGGGGAGGAGTTGCGGAGCGACTGGCAAATCCTGCATTCAAGATGGCGTCCGCTGCAATTGTGGACGAAGGATTGTCGTCCGGTTCATATTTGCATTTCCGACTTTGGAGTGGGGAAGATAAAAATATCTCGGCAAGTATTTGTTCGCCCTTTAAAACGAAAACCACCATTGAAATCCTCATAAAATAACCTTTCGAACGGGGGGTCAAATGCCGTCATAACATGACACAAACCAAAACAATCGTATATTTACTTGCCGCTTGGCCAAACATTCTTATTTCATATCGAGAAAAACTTGAATATCTTCTAAACTCTTCAGAATTCGCCCAAGTTAATAGCAGTAAAATATTCCTTGTATTCAAGCGATTTTATGTAGAGCGTTTCGTTTCAATACGACGAGCAGAAATATTTATTTTGAATTTTTCAAAATATCAGGTTTCTACTCGCACGCGCGTGCCACCGGCTGAAATTTAGATATTTTTAAATACCGAAATAAAAGATACAAATCTGCAGATACAAGCTGGAAAATAACACTCTAAATAGTGTGTTGGATTGTGATTCGAACAAGACTAATACGAAAAAGATACGTTAAAAGGAGCCGAAGTTATATTCGGCGAAAGGTATGGCTTTATAGTGATACATGGCCATACATTGTTTACATTGTTCGATATTGTATATAGGTATGGTATGGCTAGTTTACGTTGTTCGAGTATCGCTAGTTTATATTTTATGGCTACCTACAGTGTTCGAGCATATAGCTTCTTTCAAGTGGAATTTTTTGGTGGCGTATTTCTTCGTATTTCTCAGCATTTAGCCCATTTGCAGATTTTCGAGTAAATTCGCAGATTTTCGAGTCACGATTTGGCAGGCCCTTATTTTAATTTGTTTCGTCTTCCCAGCATGCATCACAACAGATTTGTTCAGCCACTGATCTATATATGAAACTGATATGTCTATATATACACTGATCTACAAACTGTAAGGGCCTGCGGAGGAGGCAGACATGCGAACCCCGTGGACGGTCAGCAGAAGTGATGTTGACAGTTCGTGATAATATTATAAACTCCACCAATGAAACCATTGCCTACCAAAGATACTTTCAATTATATTCACCATATAAAACAGACATAATGGATAAGCAACATCTCGTAACATTTATAACAAAGAATCTCACTGTAAATGGTACCAAGGCTACTGGAATTTCGTATGTATACCCAAGACGGCCAAGCGAGGACTGTCCCCAAAATGCAGGGTTCAAAATCGATTATGCCAAGGGTAGATATGGTTGTTTAAACTGTCCACCTAATTTTTACCATCAAGATACTGCTTTCCTTCCTTGCCAGGAGTGCCAGAATGGAACCCGTCGAAAAATGAATGAGGCAACCTGTGTCGTAGGCGTGCGGAGCTATCCTGAGCCGTCTCAAAAATACTGCAAGCATACATGTAATGTGGGGAAATATTTTAACATTAATTCGTCAATATGTGAATGGTGCCCATATGGTATGTACCAAAACTCTACCATCATATTCAATCCACAGTGTACCCCCTGTCCCAACGGATTGACCACAGGGTTCGTCGGAGCTCGGAATGAGTCGGAGTGCATTAACCTTTGTCCCGGCGGGTTTTATTTGAAGTACACTCGATGTCTTAAATGTGATGTTGGTTACTTCATGACGAATGCAAGTCACAGGTTACCAAGATGTTACCAGTGTCCGTCTGGTTATACCACTTTGGATGTCGCCACCATTGATAGTTGTGTCAAGAAGTGTACTGTCGGGGAATATTTCAATATGACCCTTCAAAACTGTACATTATGTCCAAATAACACCTATCAAAATGAGACTAGTGATACCAACACTAGAATCTGCAAGAAATGTCCTCAAAATACTGCCACAGCAACAGTCGGTTCAACCATGTTCTCTGACTGTCTTGGACCATGTAGTTCTGGCCAGTATATTGACGTTGGTTTACAGAAATGTTCACCCTGTTCTCGTAATACCTACCAGGATGTAACACAACACGTGAGTTTTAGTTGCAAATCTTGTGGCCAGTACAAAATCACCCTAAAAACGGCCTCGACCAATTTTTCTGAATGCATTTACACATGTTCTAAAGGCAGATTCTTTAATTTGACAAGCAAGGTGTGTGAACAATGTCCAATAAATTTGTACCAAGATGAGTTAGGGAGAGATGCTTGTAAACCGTGCCAAGGAAAAACGTTGACAGTAAAAAATGGTTCTGAAAAGTGCATTAGTCCTTGCGGGTTTGGAGAATTTTTGAATAAATCTGCAGAAAAATGTCTGAAATGCCCTGAAGGATTTTATCAAAATGTATCCGAGTACACATCAGATATTTGCCACCCTTGTCCAACAGATTTTTACAGCGACAAATCTGGTCAATCAAATTGTACACGTTGCAAAGATGGTAGCATCACGCTAATCACAGGTGCAACCAACGAAGATGAATGCATCGAGACTTGCCAGTCTGGTTATTATCTGAATAAAACTGCCAGAAGTTGTCAAAAATGTGTAAAAGGGTTCTATCAAGATAGAACAGGATTTAAAGATGAGTTTTGTACAAAATGTAAAAGCGCTAATCTCACAACGCTTGGAAATGGTGCAAAATCGGAAGAAGAATGTGTTGGTTATTGTGCGTCGTCACCTTGTCTCAATGGTGCAATTTGCTCAAATATTGAAAATGATTTTAACTGCAGTTGTCCAAATTTTCTGACAGGAAAACAATGTGAAACTGTTGTTGATCGAAAAAATTCAGACACGATGGAGATTTCAATCCGGTTTCCAGATATAATTTGGACTGAAAATCTACAAAACCCTGAGAGTAGTGACTTTAAAAAACTTGCTTTGAGGATTGAAAGCAGTATCCGGGCAGAGTTTAAGAATGATAATATATTTCGGACTGTAAAAGTGGTGGGATTTCGTAAGGGAAGCGTGATCAGTGACGTTCAGTTCACGTATGTAGGGGGAGTAAGCTTTGTGACACCTGTGGATAAGCTTACAACAGTGGTATCTGATGGTAGCCTTGGTAACTTAACTGTGGACTCCAGTTCTGTCACGATAACCAATTACACTTGCTCTCAACCTCTGGGCATGGAGAATCGTCGCATACCCGATAGCGCTCTTACATCTGGGGTGAGTCGTTTTTACCACCCACCTAAAAATGCTCGTTTACACAATCAAGGCCCGGGCTGGGCTCCTCTGTATTTTTCTGCCGACGAGGACTACCTACAAGTTGACTTTTTGGAAGAAGTATGGCTAACAGGAATTGCAACTCAGGGTTCGTCTTACTATACCGGCAGTTGGCTTGAAGCTTTTTATATTCAAAAAAGCTCAAATGGTCAAGATTGGTCGTACTTTGTTGGGGAATATGTCACACGACACGTAAGTTTTATTTATACTTCAAAAACTCATTAATAATTCAGGAGGAAAACACAAAAAAAAATCATAAGCTAGCGTTTCGTGGTTTTATATGTGATAAAAAATCATGTTAATTTACATAAACTTTAGCTTTGATTTTCTCGGTTTAGACAAAGTTTATTTGTAGACAAAGTTTATTATATTACTTCGCCAATGAACTCGTATAAGATGAGTCGTTTTTGAAGCCATTTAAAGCACTTGCAGTCGTGTTTTATCACATATAAAACACTCCGCTACGTGTCGTGTTTTATATGTGATAAAACACTCCTACGCGTGCTTTAAATAGTATACATATGACGAGAATCTGTCTTATATAAGCACTATCGTGCAGGAGATGATGGTCAATCTGCAGTTATCAGTGAGAAAGTTATGTTAATTATTTTCATTATATGTTGTAGTCTTTTTTGTTTAGGGCTGAAGTTGGACCACCTGCACTGCTACTGTGAAAACTACCGTGTTAAAATATGTTTTAATAAAAACATTTTATTATGCATGCTGGAACCCAGAGTGAATTTAATAATTTATTATAATTATTATTCGACTCAACTGCAAGAGCATTTTACCCATCACTGATTTAAACATTCAATGCATATAAGAGAACATGTTTCTGTCATTTACCCCAAGTAATAACTATTAACATTTGACCATTATTTTCTGTTATTTCTCAGATTTTTATTGCCAATGACGATATTGATACTGTAGTCCGCAACAAACTTACTTACCCTGTCAAGACGCGTTATGTCAGAATGTCTGAGTACGCCTTTAAGAACTGGATCAGCTTTCGTGTTGAATTCTATGGTTGCCCGATTCCGAAAGCTGTACCACTACCTACACTGTCACCATGGACACCAAGTGTGACTCCACGAACACTATTTCCTTCACAGACACCATTGCCTACACGAGGTAACTCCACAACACATCCAAGTAACCAAACTACACTATTTCCTTCACAGACACCATTGCCTACACGAGGTAACTCCACAACACATCCAAGTAACCAAACCACACTATTTCCTTCACAGACACCATTGCCTACACGAGGTAACTCCACAACACATCCAAGTAACCAAACCACACTATTGCCTACACGAGGTAACTCCACAACACATCCAAGTAACCAAACTACACTATTTCCTTCACAGACACCATTGCCTACACGAGGTAACTCCACAACACATCCAAGTAACCAAACCACACTATTTCCTTCACAGACACCATTGCCTACACGAGGTAACTCCACAACACATCCAAGTAACCAAACTACACTATTGCCTACACGAGGTAACTCCACAACACATCCAAGTAACCAAACTACACTATTTCCTTCACAGACACCATTGCCTACACGAGGTAACTCCACAACACATCCAAGTAACCAAACTACACTATTGCCTACACGAGGTAACTCCACAACACATCCAAGTAACCAAACTACACTATTTCCTTCACAGACACCATTGCCTACACGAGGTAACTCCACAACACATCCAAGTAACCAAACCACACTATTGCCTACTACACGTAAAAATCTCACAACTTGTCAACAAGATGTGTTCGCAACAGGCTTGTAGCAAGCTTGTCAACAAGTTGTAACAACGCTGTTATTTTATCAAGTTGCTACAAGGTTGTCACTCACAACTTGTTGGAACAACTTGTAACAAGTCTGTTGAGCTCAACAATCTTGTAGCAAGTTGTCAACAAGCCGTTGTTGACACAAGCTGGGAACAAGCAGGGCGAACACATCCTGTAGACAAGATGTTGGAACAGCATTTCTACAAGTCTACTGCAGGTTTGTTACAACTTGTGCGTTTTTACGTGTGTAATAAAGCCTACATTGGGTAGGTTCTCAACACGTACTACTATACATTGTCTAAGAAAGCTTCGGATTGATAGGGATACAACTACCTGAAAAATACAAAGAGAACTTCAATGTTTCAAGCGAAGGCCATTCATTGGGACGTTAGTGACATCGGGCATTTGCTTCAAACGTCGAAGTTCTCCTTGTATTTTTCAGGTAGTTGTATCCCTAACCATCCCAAGCTTTCTTGTTATTGCCAATACCTACACACTGGCACAGACCCTTTAAGATTACTACACTGTCTGCATCATTGGCCAAATATTGACTAGAGACGCATCATCTGTCAAGATCCATCATCTGTCTTAAGCCGTGTTTACACTACGAGCCTGGCCTAGCTTTGGACTAGATTTTTGTAGTGTAAACGCACTTTGGTCCTGGCCTAGGTTAGGAAATGTGGAACACCTGTTCTGATGGCCCAGATTTCCTGACCTAGGCCAGGTGCGTTTACACTACAAAAATCTAGTCCAAAGCTAATTTTTTTTTTAATTTTACAAGCTTTGTCACAACAAGAATACATCATGACAAATAACAATCATTACATATATAACATTACAAATGTGACAGGAAACACAACAGCTTCGGGTCAATTACTGTGATCCCAAAAGCTAGGCCTAGCTTAGGCTCGTAGTGTAAACACGGCTTTAGTGTATACACGGCTTAATCTTAACCAGCACGTTTGTTCTTTGAGTTTATCTATTGTTACAGAATACTATACATGCAGGTATAGTATTCTGTGCTATAATTGCATGTGCAGCAATTATTATCAAAGTTTTTAATATCACTTTTACTCCAGGTACCACAGTTGTCACTCCTGATGATGGTGATGGTGATGATGGTGTCACTAATGTTGGATTAATCGTTGGTGTAACACTTGGTGTGTTTGCAGTGTGTATAATTGTTGTTGTTTTGGTTGTTTTGTGGTGGATGAAACGAAATCGGGGATCTCATTTAGTTGGATACAGTGCGGATGTTATGCAACTCAAAGAAACTAAATGATAGAAAACGTAACTATAGTATTGATGGGTTTTAGTAAGTGTTTTACATGGTGCTATATGCATGGTAGGCCATTGCTAGAATGGTACCCAACTCAAATGCGTACACTCTCAGCCTTGGGATAGGCGCCTAAACTTTTTGAGCTGACTTAGCACCATGGAAAACCCACTAATGATGTAGCCGAAAAGAAAAAAATCGTTTTTTACAGCCTAACACTATGTGATGGTTGACTTGAATATGACTTAGTCTTAGACTTTCAAAATTAGGACCTCAGGTCTCAAAACAATAAATTCGAATGCTTTTCGTTGAAATTTCTTCGCTCTTTTTGAGATATTTTGGGTTTACATGAGTGCTAATTTCTAGTAATTTGTAAACAAACTGTAATGGCGTAATGTGAACACACGTCAATTCTGCCCGCATTATTTCCCTCCGTTGTGGTAGGAACGTAGTCAATAGTCTGGTTTATTTAACCAGGAAATCCTTGTCAAAGTAACCAGAATATAGGTTGAAATAATCTTGAACTGTGTGTGCCAGTGTGGGTAGTGTCAATAATGTGAACAAGCTTTCGTTGGTAGGAATACAACTACCTGAAAAATATAAGGAGAATTTCGACTAGAGACTTCGCCAGTAACTCCAGACGAAGGGCCCTCGCTCGAAACGTCGAAATTCTCCTCATATTTTTCAAGTAGTTGCATAACCAGGAATATTAACCAGGGATGACCGGATAAGTTAACTCAAATATAGGGTTATATCTATACGTTAACCTGCAGGCAATTTAACCAGGGAGTTTTTAAAAGTATGTATACGTTTATTAAGTCTTATAAGTATATTATAATACACCATCAATAAATTATTGTTTCATAGTACACCATATTTACAGAGTGGGTGGGTTGAAGTAAAAGTTCCATGGTAGCAGATGGTGATCAACTAACCAATAGCAATGTTTTAGGAAAGTTCCCTATCCGTGACTCGAACAAGGTGAATTCGAAATTGCTATTGGTGGATTTGGCAAAAATACAATACACACGTGACGGTGAAGGACCATATTTATGAATAAACGTTGACCAACATAGATGAGTTGTATTGTTATCCTAATGAGTTTCACAGCCATCTTCCATTTGATAGGCTATGGGTGGAGTAATACGGGCCACAAAATTGCTGCAACTTGCAACAAAGTCTGATTTCAACGCATGTTAAGTAGAAATGTCGACACATGTTGCCTCGTGATTTGTAATTTATGTGAAAAAAACATTTTCAATTAATTAACATGCGTAGAAATCAGATTTTGTAGCAATTTTGTTGCTCGTATTAGTCCAGCTTTATAGAAGCAAGAAAATTAAACTACATCTAACTTGTCTCTCTGATAACTGGAGGTTGACCACCATCTGCTTGCACGATAGTGCTTAGTGCTAGCCATCTATTGCTACACGGACTATTAAACTGGCCGACAACAACATACCATGTTAACCCTACCCATAAGTTCTGTGCACCCAAGTCCGTGAGAAAGAAGGTCATTTAAGGTTACAGGACACCCTTTTTGCCGTTTTGCGGAAAATCGCTACTGCGCGCTCAATATCAGTCCGATTTTCATCAAATGTTCTCCAGTGCATGCAACATATGGTAAAGTTGTAAAATTAACAAACAATAAAATAATGTAAGAATTATTCAGGAAAATCTTAAATCGCGGTACCGTTACGCTTTTGAGTTGTGCTCCTGCTGGTTTTAAGTTATATTTATGAAAATATCATTTTTATACAGTAAAATAGTTGTTCTAAAAAATAGTGTTCGGAAATTTTTGTTTATTTCGTCATTCCGCTGATATGGCGATTTCTTTGACGACTGCAATATATTTCTGAATTGTTTGAGTGAATTGCTCTTTATTTTTAAAATATCCAAAATTTAAAAAAAGCCGAACACAATTTTGAAACTGACATCTTTAGCGATGTCCTGTGACAAACAGTGTGTTAAAACCCGCAGGAGCACAACTCGTTTGAAAATCAGTAATTACCGTAAACTTTTTCGGGAGAAAATTGAATTTGAATATTACATTTTCAATGTTTTTGTTATTGCAGCGAAATGTATTTTATTAAATAACTCTGCGAGTTTTCAACATTTTTCGTTCAAACTTGGTCAGATAGTAGAACTAGTCTAATGCTTTCATGAAAACCAATAAAAAAATTTTAGGCAAAATTAACACTCAAAGGTGTTCTGTAACCTTAAACAAAATGCACATACAACAGTCCCTTATTAACACCTGAAGTAATTCCACATTAATCGTCAATTATGATCACTTCGCGTTTATCCGCATCGTCAGACGCAGGCGCTGAAGAATTTATGTCATCCGATTGAAGACCACTGTTCACATTATTGTCGTCCGATTGAAAACCACTGTTTACATTATTATTACAGGCGAGTTTTTTTGGAACTTGGAGTGCATTCAGAGTCTTCTCTCGAAAAACGTGTCTATGTTGTAAGTCGATTTTCGCCTTGCCGTTTACAAGTTGTGAATTGTTCTCGCTTAAAGTTTGACTAACTGTTGATGACGTTGTCGGTTTCGATAAGTCAGGAACATCACTCCGAACTGCTGATGACGTTGTCGGTTTGGATAAGGCAGGAACATCACTCCTAATTGCTGATGATTCTTTTGAAGTTGTTGGTTTTGATGAGGAAACATCACTGTTTTTCTCAGCTTTCTTAGAGTTCACCCATGCATCTGGTAGTTTCAATCTCTTGTTTTTTAAACACCATGCAAGATGTTCCAAGCATTTGACAGATTGTTTTGGGATTTGTATGGCAAGTTCTGTAGATGCTTTGCGTTTTCTTGGATTGACCACATTGCTAGTTTCACTTGTACTCGGCTTTGGACTCAATGGTGGATGACACAGGTTGCTTGTGATGGTTTTTCTCGAAAAAACCACATTGGTAGGTGCTTCTGTACTTAGTGACTGAGTGTGCTTTGGTGGTGAATTACTGGATGTTCTTGCAATGGTGTGACTTGTTTCAATTGGACAATAAGTTAATGTCCCTATACCATCCTTGACACTGTTGGAAGTTGAATATTGGTCATTGTTAGACATAATGACATCACTGTCTGAAACTATTGTCACACAATCTAGGTCTGAATTCCCACAAACATTTAAATCCTCTGTATTGTCACTGCTACTCTTACTTGACCAAGCCTTAGAACTGTCAGTCTGACTAACAGAGTTTGAGTGTCCAGATTTTAAATTCAAATCCTGCGCAGTGTCCTTCATAGTACTATCTTCACTTGAACAAACCGTATTCTGGACAGTCTGACTAACTAAATTTGTGTTTCTAGACTCTGTGGATTCAGCCCTTGATGATTCGTCCATAGATTCATCCCTAGACTCTGTGGATTCATCCCTCGTGGATTCATTCCTTGGGTCGAATCTTGTTCGGAATACCTCCCGAAGAACATTCAGTGTTTTAATTAATTCATCGCTAGGTGTTGATGTCGGTATTTTTAGTGGCTCACTGCAGCTTGTGCTCGCCGAATCTTCTTGATCGTCATCAATAATTAGACAGTCATCTGGGTGTGGTTCGTTAACAGAAGGTTCAGAGGCTGGTTGGTCGAGCTGTTTCATGGTTACTGACTGTTGCTTTGGGTTGTTAACAATTTTGCAATCGTCATCAGTATTTGGTTGGCTATCGGACACTGATGGCTCGTTAATTGATTCATCAAGTTGTGCTGATGGCTCATTAACTGGTTGATCAAGTTGTGCTGATGACTCGTTAACTGGTTCATCAAGCTGTTTCATGGTTACCGACTGTTGCTTTGGATTGTTAACAATTTCATAATCATCATCAGTGTTTAGTTTATCAGAAACAGATGGCTCGTTAACAGGTTCAAATTGTTTCATGGTTACCAACTGCTCAGTTGGCTCGTTAACAATTTCACAATCATAATCAGTGTTTAATTGAATTTCAGAAACTGATGGCTCGTTAGCTAGTGTAACAAATTGTTTATGTTCACTTGGGTTGTTAATTATTTCACAATCACTACTGGAGGAGAAAGTCTGTTGATTTGTTTGTGTGTCGTTGTTGGAACAATCAGGATCAAAAGTTGACAATGTTTGTTCTGACGTCCCAGTTTCATTCTGTGTAAGACAAGTGAGTGGAAATATCGGTGACTCAGGACGCTCGTTGTCAGATAACGATACCTCCATGCGATCTGTGTCTGATAACGACTGTTCAACATGAGATGTAGATAACATGTCTGTTGAAAGTTTGGGTGAGACACTAACGAAGGACAACTCTTGTGATGTGGGTACATCTGAATCCACTACCACTATTGAGTCATCAAACTCTGCCCTTGGGATATCCTGTTCATTGTCTGATGAACCCGATTCACTACAAATATCCCCATCTAGCCCTCTAGAAGAGCCTGGTGTACTTGACAAACCCTTCTTTGATTTACCAATTACCTCTTGCCGATCAAGGCGAGCATACCTGTTGTGATTCCTAGACCTTTGATGGTCCTGTTCATCATCAGATGTACCCGATTCACTACTCATATCCTTGTTTACCCTGGAGGAACCAGATTTTCGTGTTTTTTCGTCAATTTCATAACGTTCAAGATGTGCATATTTGGTGTACACATGTTTCAAATTACGCTTCGAAATTCGGCGGTTCTTCTCCAGTTGCAAAGCTAGATCTTTATTTGACAAGGCTGGATCATCCTCTGTTTTAAAATCATCTAAAAGATGTGACCCAAAATTAAACAGCAAATCTCTCTCTCGCCGTCGTTGAAGCTTGTTTCCGATATCTGTGAATATGTCTGCAATAAGTCCATTCAATACTTGAGGCGACATTCTTAGATCATACTTTTTGTTCGTTTTCATAACGATATCTCGTATATCAAAATAATCAGGAAATGAGCCAGGCTTTTCTTTCAAGAACTTTGCAACTGCTTTGTCGATCATTGAATAACCTGTCGAGCTTGCACGGATGGGTTTCTCGACAACACGACCGGTGTTAGGCTCCCGACCTAAAATCTTACATAATTTAGTCCAAGTCTTTTCAAACTTTTTCTTCAGCTGATTTTCTTTAATATATGTACTATCGCACATATCCATTTCTTCAAGCGTGAGTTCTGCTCGATTTAATATTTTTATCTCGTTGCTAATTTCCTTTAATCGTTGCTTTAGCCGAGCCGCTAGTTTTTTCCTTTGTTTTACAGTAAGTGTTCTGGTAGAAATCTTTCCTTTGGTTTTGTTGGCTGTGGCATCTTGACATGCACTTGAAGTCGAAGGAATATTCTCAATTCTTTCTGTAGGCATTTTTGATGGTTTTGGGCCAACAAAATCATCATCATCTGAAATTGTAGCAATCTGAGGTGCAGATGTGGTTGAATTATTTTGATTCGTAGATAACTTGGCGGTCGGTTCAAATCCGCGCGCCTCGCTTACGTCACAAAATGTAACACTCTTTGGAACTTTGTTTACAACATCCAGATTTTCACCAGCATTGGTTAATCCATTGCCTGAATTCAATACCACACCATTATTTATAGATTTTTCCGCCTTTAGCGTTCTACATATCAGACTGAAGTACAAACCAGCGTTCTCTTTCTTAATCTCTTTAACGTAACGTTCTAACATGGCCACCAGATCGTGCGATGCGGTCAATTTTCCTTGAACTTCCGTAAATAATGATCGTGCATCTTTAATGGCCTCTTGCCTTACATGCGGTCGACACGCTAAAATAAAACGCTTGAACAAAAAGCTCACGTCCTCATTGCTTTGTTCTGACTGTTCTTCGTCGCTAGAAAGCGTTATAACTTCGAAACTGCTTTGATTTTTGCTTGAGTTTTCAGTAAAAACATTGGCAATGTTCGCCATTTTGTCTTTGTTTGCACAAAGTAAGTGAAAAACGAAGATTCATGCAATACCATATATGGTATAATTTATGCGCATAATTACCGTGACGTCTTGCAAATTATGATAATTTTATCCATATATGGTCACAACCGCCATATATGGCCCGGGTGTGGACTTAATGTATTCAGGCTAAAAATAGAACTTACATGCGAAAAATGGTTGCAGTGATGGTATTTGCAATCTGTACATGTACTGAGAAAATAAAGTGTTTATAAAATAAGTTTTCAACATAAATGTTGTCGTTTTCAATATATAATTATATTATAAAAGGAATGCAAAAAACCTTATATGACCCCTGATAGTTTCTTAGTTGGATTTGTAGTTGTAGCTGTAAATGTTGTTGTAGCTTGTATAACTATTGCAACGGTCACTAAAAATACATTACCAATTATCGTCAAAACGAGGTTTCACATAAAAAATCGAAACACAAAAACGAGGCTATAAAATTTATGTTAATTTATGCTAATTTGGAAATTTACTAAAATTTATTTGAAACGAACGACTTTCGTCCGACCACCTTTCAGTGTATGGATATTACACTTTGACAATGTTGACGTTTCCATAGAGCAAAGATGGCGGCTTTCACTCGTTGCGAAAATAACAGGTAACTCTTTTATTTCGAAACTGATGGCGTCCAAAAAAATATCGCTACAAGAAGAGCATATCCTTCAACTTATACTAGAATTTCTGAGCTCTAGAAAGTACTATAAGTCTGCCAGATCACTAGAAAAAGAGTCAGGGGCGAACACAAATCCTTACTCGGAAAACATAAGTTTTTTTCGTGATCTAGTTTTGGACGGCGATTGGGCAGCTGTGAGGGAATTCGGGGAACCGTTAGCCGACATCCCGGCCTTTGAATATCGTAGGTTTAACTTTCTTGTTGCAAAACAGGAGTATTTAGAAATACTGTTTGAAAAATGCGAAGGAAACACGATCAAAGATGAACAAGCTTTACGTGATCGACTATTAGCCTGCCTTCAAAATTTAGAACTATACTGCACGTTTAAGGAGGAGTACAATAAACTGTATTGGTATTTATCTGTACCATCACTTCGCACTGAGCCCGAATTTTGCAACTGGAGTGTAGATTCATCCCGCATGCAACTTTTTGAAGAAATGTTGCAGTTATTGAAACAGTTTATCCCCATTGGTGAGCAAAATTTAGCAAAAGACAGTTTGGTATCAGAAGATAGATTATTAGCCCTTCTGTTTAAAGGTTCGCTTTATGAAAACTGCATCGAGTTTTGTCAAAAGCAAGCAATGGGGAAAATGGCCACATCTGACTTTCTGCCAACTGATATAAAGGTTGACCTTTTTCGAAAACAGTCGCTAAAAAGTACAGGAAATTTTTATTCATGGCTTCACAGTCTGTCAAAAGAAAGCTTTGTGGAACCCTTTGAGGAGCTCAATTTTGATGTACAGGTCGCAAAACGGAAACCAACTAGGGTTAATGCCGAGGTGAAAAATAACTCCCTCAGTCGAAGTTTGACTATCGAGTTGAAGACACCAGCAAAAGTTTTCTTGCAGAAAGGGAGGGATGAAAGAAGGAAACGTTTCACCGATTTTCCAACATGCAAACCAACGTTTTTAGAGTTTGATATGCGAGATGTTTCCCAGTCGTTTGCTGAATTTGAATTTGCTGAGAATAGTAACAATAGATCAGGGCTTACTGGACGTCCGAAAACCCAAAAGTCCGCCCCAAATGATCAAGAAGTGTTTTTGCAAAATGGTGAAATCTATCCAAACGCACCTGTTGGTCATGTGTCTGTTTCTCCGGGTAAGCCAGCAGAATCTCCAAGGAAAACCCGACGTGATCAACAAGACTTAGTTTTGCAACAATTGGAAGAACACAAGCAACGTCAACGAGAGTTGTACGAGCAGCTAGCCGAGAGTGCCAGCCTGGCCAAGATGGGTGGTCGAATTAAGGATACCAAAACCAATGATGTTATTCCTGACGAGTCTGCAAGAAGCTTAGAAGCTGTAAAGAAGAGCATTCAGAGCTTGAAGTTATTAGCAGAAAGTTATGAAAGCCCTAAGGGAACTCACATTGGTCAAACAGATCTGGTCAAAGATGATGTTTTTAGACTGAGTGAAGACAGATTAAACACTGGAAAGAAGAATACTAGCCAAAGTGCATCTTCCCAGCAAGATTCTCGTCCAAACACCATCAGTATCACCAATGACATGTCGGCAAGAAAGAGTTCATCGTCAACCCCTGGATCAGCAGCTCTTCCTAAAACTCCTGTGAATACTTGCTTACCTCCTGGCCTCGTGAAATTGACTGATGGTTCTGGAGCTTTTAATACCAGGTATGTGTTGTGTGTTGGTCATGCAGTTTTCTGATTATCATCTCATTACCATGTCAAAAGACTCTGCCTTGACTCTAGCACTCCAGATGTCAACTGCAATAACTCTGAACCAATAGAGATGTCCTTACTGGACCTCTTTTCTAGCACAGATAGATGATGCCTGATCTAGTAGGGGGAAAGGTCTAAATACATAATGATATGGCTATGCTAAGAAAATTGATTTAACATCACTCTCTATACTATATGTCCACCGGGGCCTATCTGTCTGTTTGTTTGACTGTCTGTTTGTCTGCCTATCTATTTGTCAGATCTACCTTTTCAAATGCCAGAACTCCGTTTTCAAATCTGCCAAAACTCCGTTTTCAAATGCCAAAACTCCGTTTTCAAATGCCAAAACTCCGTTTTCAAATGCCAAAGCTCCGTTTTCAAATGCCAAAACGCCGTTTTCAAATGCCAGAACTCCGTTTTCAAATGCCAAAACGCCGTTTTCAAATGCCAAAACGCCGTTTTCAAATGCCAAAACGCCGTTTTCAAATGCCAAAACTACTTTTTCAAATACCAGAACTCGTCTTTCAAATGCCAGAACTCCGTTTTCAAATGCCAAAACTCCGTTTTCAAATGCCAAAACTCTGGTAAAAGCCCCTCCCTGGTAAAACCATTCCCTGATGTTGGAATGTCTTTTCTAGCACACCCAAAGCTGAACGTCAATCATTCACGACACCTTTACCAGCATCACCAGTGGCATCTGAACAAAGATTTTCCAGAGATGATATTCTGCTGCGGCAATCTCGACAACGACAAGAAAATCCTACACAAGAAGGAGATACTAAACCAGATGCTGTATGTGTAAATAATTTTGACCTGGTTCATCTTCATCTCTTATTATTATGTATCCACACCATCTCAACCTTGCTTCCCTCACCTTCTCTGCAATGTCTACCACACCACATCTCCTGATCTCTTCATTCCGTAATGTCTCTGACTAGCTCTCCTTCATCTCTTCGTATTACGTGTCCACATCATCTCAACCTTGCTTCCCTCACCTTCTCTGCAATGTCTGCAATTACATTTATTATTTCTTTCAGAGTGGACAAACACCAAAAGCATCTGGCACAAGGCAATTCACTGTACGAAGATCTTTGGTGAATACAGTTTTCCAGAATGAAGATAATGTAAAAGTGGAAACTGACCCTAAATTTCAATCTAGAACTACCTTAACTAACAATACTAACGTAGATTCTTCTAGACTGCATAATGCAATCATGGATCCCCCAACAAAAACTGTTCAAACCAGATCTGACTTTGTCAAAGAAACGTTAGGGAGTGATCCTATGGAATCGAGGAATCAAACCTCTAGTCCTTTTTCATGTGGGAATGATGTGAAAGATTCAAGATTTCAAGCTAGTTCTGGCTTAAACAGGATTGGTAGAAGAATCGATAGTCATCCTACCACCTCAGTCGAAACTAAGAACTCGAAGTTCCAGAAGCATTCTACAGCAAATAATCCTCATACCACGGTGGGCAACCGTTTGTCCAGACCTGACGATCCCAAGGACTCGATGTTTCAAGATAATGACAATATAAAAGACACAGAAAAAAGAAATGAGATTAATTTTCGTGCAACAGTAGGAAGTAATCCTACAAGCTCAAGGTTTCATAACTATTCCAACACAAATAATCCTCAAAGAACAGAGGATACGCGCAATGCCCCCGGACTGAGTGATCTTAAAGATTCAAGGTTTCAGGATATTTCTGCTATAAAAAACACTCGGAGTAGCATAATTTCTACAGTACCTACACCACACAATACTGAAGGCATGCTGCAAAGCTCAAACGATGCTCCATTGAACTTTCAAAAGTCAGCCATGTTAGCAGACACGCAAGCAATACGTGCTGTAGCCTTCCACCCCAATGGAAACTACTTTGCTGTCGGGACAAACTCCAAATCATTGAAAATTTGTCGTAAGAATGAATCTCGTTATTTTGAAAGGTACGGTTTTGTAGGTATTTCAAACGTAGTGGTCCAGTATAGATAGTGTTCTACAATAAGCTGCGTGGTTTATGTCTGAACTACCTGAAGAAGATATCTCAAACGTGGTGGTCCAGTGTTGGTAGTATTCTACAATAAGCTGTCATGGTTTGTGTCTGAACTACCTGAAAAAGATATCTCAAACGTGGTGGTCCAGTGTAGGTAGTATTCTACAATAAGCTGCAGTGGTTTGTGTCTGAACTACCTGAAAAAGATATCTTAAACGTGGTGGTCCAGTGTAGGTAGTATTCTACAATAAGCTGTCATGGTTTGTGTCTGAACTACCTGAAAAAGATATCTCAAACGTGCTGGTCCAGTGTAGGTATAGTATTCTACAATAAGCTGTCATGGTTTGTGTCTGAACTACCTGAAAAAGATATCTCAAACGTGGTGGTCCAGTGTAGGTAGTATTCTACAATAAGCTGTCATGGTTTGTGTCTGAACTACCTGAAAAAGATAGGAAACACTTTCTTTGGCCTTTTTGGCGAAAACCCCTCGTCAGTTGGTCAATTGGAATCGACTACTACTAAGTAACCTCTTTACGAAGGATCTTCGCTTGAAGTGTTTTTAATCTTTTTAGTTCAGACACAGACCGGCTTAGTTTACATGTTCTTAGGATTTTCTGTGTATGTTTTATTCAGAGATGAACATGACACCCCTGAACTTGAGGTGTTGCATCAGAAAACATCAATTCACAAAGGTTCTGTGTACTGTGTGGCGTTCAGTTCAAATGGCGAAATCATTGCGACTGGCTCGAACGACAAAACGATAAAACTGTCGAGATTTAACGCAGATAGTCCAGTCAACCTAGAAGTTCAGATGGAATTGGCAATACACAATGCTACGGTCAGAGATCTGACGTTTGTTAACTCAGCTGCGGGTGGGCATCCCGTTTTAGCATCGGGTGGTGCAGGTAAGATTTGAATTCCAAATTCAGGTGTGGTTGCATTTTTATCTGTGCGGTGCCAAAAGTTGAACGTAGTGTACTGTAAAATGGCCTTAAATCTTTGTTCAATGTGCCTTTCTCACGAAGTACTGTCTGCCCTCGTGAAAGATTCTAGACAATTCAAACAATGTGAAAAGCGACTTTTAAAAGTTGTAACTGTAAATTTTCCATTATACAAACAACTACAATACTAAAAAGTTGTATTTCGTGGTGCGGAGACTCTCAAACGTGAGAGAGGCAGTACCCCAAAAATGGCGGGAAAAATTGGCCGTGAGAAAGGCTAATTTATCACCTCTAGAGCAAGACTACCACTAACCACCATCTGCTGCACGATATAGTGTTTAGATATTTTCTCTTATTTTAGGTGGGGGTCTTATTCACTTGTCTGATTGCTGCACAGGACAGACTATTTCCTCGCTCCAAGGGCATGCTGGGAACGTTATGGCAGTCTTTGCTAGCGAGCAGGCTCACTTGCTGTGTTCTGGGTCAGCGGATAAGACAGTGCGATTGTGGGACTTGAGGATGGCGAAGTGTATTGATGTGATGGCGACCAGCAGCTGTGTTACGTCAGTGTGTTTCAACCATGCTACAGCTCACTCGCTGTTGTTAGCTTCAGGTTGGTGTGGACTGCAGTACAACATGGATTGGTAATAGTCGATGGTTTCGAGTGCAATTTGGAAAAAAAACATGCACGAGTGAGTTTTTCAAAGACTGTCAAAAATTGCACGAGTCCGAAGCAGTGGCGTAGCAAACTCGATAATTGGGGAGGCCAGTATTCGTATATTCGTGTTCTACATCATTAATTTCTTTTGAAATCAATTGTTTTTAAGGTCTGTGAACACGAATATATGAATATTGCCCCCCCCCCCCCACCAATTATCGAGTTTGCTACGCCACTGGTCCGAAGGACGAGTGCAATTTGAAATCTTTGAAAAACTCACGAGTGTATGTTTTTTCAAATTGCACGAGAAACCATACTATTACTTATTAATAATTTACATGAAAAAATATGCAGTCACTTGTGCACATTTAGAAATTATGAAATTTGAAAAATAAAAAAAAATTTGCACTGTATTTCATTTTTTTAGCACTGTGTTTCGAAAAACTTGCACTGCTCTTAGCCAATCAGAATTGAGAAACTTTTTCATATATATTATTAAATCTGTAAACAACACAAAGCGTATAATACTTTAGTTTGTGGAAACACCACGTAAATTTATTACTGCGTCCTTTTACGGCCATGCAAACCTACAAACTTTTCACGTCTTTGACCGAGATTTGAATGCAGTTGTCTCATGATAATTTCACCTCACATATCAGGGAAAATGCTTCCAGTTTGACTCTACCAAATACCGCAGGTTCTCGCCTGGTACTCGGGTTTCCTTCTGCAGTAAATGTAGACCGCTAAGCAATGATCCTTAAGCTGGTCCACATATGCCTACGGTATATCATTGTTTACAGCTGTTGATGCATATACATCCTTTTGTGAATTATTTGGTTGAACTGCTAACGACAATAGCCCGCCGACATACCACAGGTATATGTGAAACAGGCTTTACTGGACTTGCAGGGAGAACAGTAGGACTGGTAGGGCTATCCAGAATAAAATAACCGTCACCTTATATTTTTATTTATCGTTTGCAGCTGATGACAACGGTCAATGTATAGTTTACGATGTTGGCGCAAGGAGATCGATTACTTCATTTACTCCGCACGAAATGGACTGTAGATCTATTCGATTCTCCCCAGACTCCCAGCACCTCCTCACGGGTTCCTACGACGCATGCGTAGCAGTTACCAGTGTACATTACAACAGCAGTGAGATGCTATCCGAGTCACGTGTTGTGGCAACACACAGAGACAAAGTCATTCAATGTCGTTGGCATCCAAGTGAGTGTGTGTTTCTTAGTAGCAGTGCGGACAAAACTGTTGTTTTATGGGAACAAAGTTATGATAGACATGATAAGCTATGAAGGTATGTTGTAACTAAACTTGTAATACTTGTTGCAAGTTGTTACAAAAAGTTGTTACACACAACTTGCGATCAGAATGCATTTCAACAACTTGTTCAACAACTTGTTGTTGATAAGTTGTTGGTGATAAACGTTGGTGGCAACTAAACAACATGTATATAACTCATAAGCTTGAAGATGTGAGAAAATGCGTGAATTTTGGCACACTATAGCAACGACCACCGTATTGAAAGTGTGAAATTTTAGTGAACCATCTGTCTATATGTATCGTAAAATATTTATACAGCATAAAAATTATATTTAAGCATATATCACTCTTAAATAATATATTTCAAAAATTCATATTTAATAACATATAATCACCCTTATATAATATATATAAAAAATAATAGTTAAATACATCATGTACATGTAGTTTTTTTTGTGTTCTTGGTGAAAACCAACCGGCAATTTTGACGAAAACACTACATTAATAAGACCATACTTTAACAAACCCGGGCAAAACTACTGTTCCTTACACGAGCTACAAGGCAATATAGCTAACTCTAATTTCTCAGCATTTTTAATAAGTTTCTGAACGAACGCTAAACTTTTCTCCCTCACATTCGTGCTATTAATCTCCAAAATTTCATCGCCCACATGTAGGAGTCCACCCAGAAATTTCTCGGCCTTTTTATCCACAATTTTACAAACGAACATACCGTCTTTGCGTTCTTCGTATCCTTTACGAATGTTGAATCCAAAGGTCACTTTATCTGGTCTGCGAAGTTCGATAATATAAGCAGTGTCTATGCTGGAATGGCATCCTACCACTCTGCCTAAGGCGAGAGCTTCCTTCGGGGAACTCACGAGCTTTTCGGAATTTTTCTTGGACTTGGATGAACTTTTTCTGTGAAAAAATTCTCGTATTTTTTGTTTCTTGCTTCTTGAATGAGTGGAACGTTTTCCTGGAATTTCGTTGACCTTGTAGAAGCCAGTTCTTCGGGTGAATTTTGTGTGGTGTTTTTTGCTAGTTGGGTCAAGCGGTATAGCCTCGCCGGGCATGAAAGTTCGGTTTTCGGTAAAAGCGTTCTCGCTAGTTAGTAGGTTCGGCATACTGCGCCATTTTGTTGCATTGGTCGTTGGGGTGGATCTTGACTGTTCTCTTGGTGTGAAATGGTGTGTGGTGGTTCCTATACAGAAAAGATACGTGTTCCTTCTTTAAATATCGACTGCATGCTATCCTTTTATCTGTCTTTATATGTAAGTCATGAATGGTATACTGCACACTATGGTGACTATGGTCACTATGGTGACTTTCACTAAGCATTATCGTGCAGCAGATGGGGGTCAACCTGCAGTTATCAGAGTGAGAAAATAATGTTCATTCTTTTCATTACTAAACAGATATCTTTAGTTTAATTTGCTTGCTCTGCACAAGTGTGAACATTGCTGAAGTTGAGCACCATCTGCTGCCCTGTGACACTTACTGAAACCCACCAACTGATACATACTCCAGTTACTTGTTGAGAACGTTAGATGAACGCTTACCTTCATCTCCATGGCAACGATTACGATTCCAGTCCAAGTTTTCAGGAATAATTTCCATCTTCCGCTGTCTGTTTGAACCGAGCGATGACAATGAATTACATTCAGAGCTGAAATCTTCTTCGCTCGCCCATGTTAGCGGTCTTGGCTTTCGTGGGTGGGCTTGGGTTATCCTGTTTTGTTCCTGTGTTGATCCCCTATATCCATCAGTTTCCTCCTCTAATAAGTAATGATATATCATCCACTCAATCATATATATTTTACTGGAGCTAAGCTGATAGAGTCATGAATCTACTGCTATATGTCCTTACCCTGCCCTATCATTATATCACCTAACCTATCAACATTCCCTCCGCAAACATATCGGGGAAACCCACAGAGCATTGCGTCATTGACGGTGTCTTTTCACATGAATGAATGTCTTGATTGTGAATGTCTTTTCACATGAATGAATGTCTTGATTGTGAAGCAATAATCAAACGTGAGAAAAGGTGAAAGGCGCTTCCTTGAACAATGTCTATGACAAATTATGCAAATAAACTGAGCTTCATTTAAACCTTACTTAAACAAACACAAGAGGCGATGAGAGTTCACTAAGACGGGTTGGAATGTTAATTGCCAAACACCACAGGTCTTCTTTGGCTACTACGGGTTTCTCCTGCAGTAACTCTTGACCAATAAAGAATTTTCCTTACTCAGTCGGAAGAACAGTTTAGAAGTGATATAGAGCTATCGAGTATCAATAAAGTTAGTTTAGCCTTATGACCTTGAAGTGACGAAAGCTCACCTGTATTTCCTGCGAGAAGTAAACTTTCATTTTTCTCCCCCAAGCCTGAACTCCTTTTTCTCTCCAAACTCGAAATATCAAGCTTGTTACGTGTTCGTTGTGGACCTTGGTATTTCGCTTCAAGCACCTTGATCTTATCCCTGGCGTCTTTTAATTTCCTTGCGTGCTCCTTTAGGAAATCATCATTGAGTAAGTCTCCCATTTCATGTCTGCGTTCTTGTTGTTTTTCTCGTAATATTTTCAAATCGTTTATGCTCTGGCTTAGACAACGCATTCGTTGTAAACTTGTATCGGATAGAAGAGAAGTTTCATTATAAGGACTTGTTAGTTCCAGGTATGAAACGCTTCGTCCTCGTCTTGGCGTACTAGCGTTCAGAATTTCGTCATTATACAAAGAAAAACTATCATTTTCAATGAAAGAGGCACCATCCCTCGATTCACCCATTGACAACGAGCTCTCCTCGCCTAAAATCATCGTCTTAGATTAATTTTGATGAAAACCATGAAATCTTTAAAGAAACTTGACTCTCCTTGTTACTGTAAAATATAGTCACAACACAAGAATTTCATACTAATCCTTTTAGTACACATTTTGTTTTGGTTATACAAAACTAAAATCTCCCTTTGACCAATCAAATTGGATCCTTTTAAGCTTTTAACCAATCATGTAATGCAGTCGGTGGTCATTAGGAGTGTTTAAAGCTATCATCACCTACGCAACTAAGCCAATTTTACGCTTCGCCGCCCTTCCGTCTAGTCAGCATTTTCCTTCCTGTTAATTTCTTGTTGTTGTGCAAAACTTGATTGTTCTTGTGCAAAATTTGATTGTCTTTGTGCAGAATGCGATTGTTTTTGGCCTATGGTTTCGGGAAATAATATTTATATGCTAAAAAGTATTAAAAGGTAAAATTGTTACGGTAGATAAAGTGTCATCTCTGTCCGCAGCCGGAAAAAAATTCAATCATTGCGCTTGTCATTTGCGAATGTGTTTTTGGTGTGACGTACATCAGTTCGTTTTGATGCAACGTCGTCATTTGGTCGTGTAAGTAATACAGCTCCAAAGTAGATATATCTCCACAATTAGTAAAGATTGATTTGCTAACAGCACACTAGACAATCGGGCGGCTGTTTTCGCCGGCTAACAGTACGCGAAAAATATCCAGGCTATTTCGCATCAATGACCAAATGAATTAGCCATTCCGAAGTTGATGAGTGGACTGGGGACGAGTGTTAAAAAGTGCCCAAATTAAGAAATGAACCAAATCACTAAAAAGACCACCTCAAAATTAGCAAGTATACAAAGTTTGAAGACGTTTACACGAATATCCTTCGAATAATAAGCTTTCAAAAATCGTGATATTTACTATGAAATGTATTGTAATTTTTGTTTTTGGGACGCGCGTCCCAAAAACAATCTTTTAATCAGTAATTTCAGAATTTTTGAAAGCTTATTATTCGAAGAATATTCATGTAAACGTCTTCAAACTTTGTATACTTACTAATTTTGAGGTGGTCTTTTTAGTGATTTGGTTCATTTCTTAATTTGGGCACTTTTTAACACTCGTCCCCAGTCCTCTCATCAACTTCGGAACGGCTAATTGGTCACGAAAGTCGTAGCCAGTACAAGCTAAGTTTAGTTCTTGCACGCGGCCCACGCAAAGACCACGCAAGCCACAGAACAACACATAGCGCCAGGATACGAGGCAGGTTTTGTTGTTGAACATCTCGGAACATATTTTACAAGACGCAAACATAGATATTTTTACAATTTTATTATTTCCATAACAAATGCACGTAGATATCCTTCTATAATAAAATATCTTTGACAATGGACAACTTGCATGTTAGACTAAATTTTAATCTAAGTAAAAAGAAGGGAATCAAACAGAACATCATGAAAATGGTAACAATTTCCGCACGTCATACAAACATACTGAAAATATGCAAACTTCGCAAGGCTATATTTTCTGTATTTTACAACATTTCGCAACCAAATTTTGCAATTTTACTGATTTTAATAAGTTTTTTACGGGAATTTAGTTTTTTTGCCTAAATCAAAAATTAGTCTAACATGCAAGTTATCTATTGATGTCGTTATAAATTTCTATACCATATTACGTATAATGTATTTTCAGCCAGACACCCAGTGTGTTTCAAACCTCAACACATATATGTCACGTTGTTCTGACCAAGATGTATCGTCGTTCCCGGGATGCAACGCATACAGCCGTGACGCCCTGGGAACGAAGATGACCAAGCGTGAGGAAAGGTGCCTGGGAACGAGTCAATCTCGTAGCCAGAGCCAACAAATCCGATGAATCTGGCTACGAGATTGGGTACGAATGAACGAACAAATGACCAATGAAATATGTATTTTCCAGCCTGCAAATTTCACTGTCTTCAGCAAGGACCAACGCGCTATAACTATCTTGACACTCGACCATCACAATTTTCCCTTATAATCTCCCAGAAGACATTGTCTTCCCTTGCTCAATGTTATCGAACACAAAGTTTGTCATCCAAAATTTTCTTCCACGACATCAGTCCTGGCGCGATGTTAATGTATAATGTTATAGAGCAATAAATAACACCACTATGACAACGAGAATTACGATCAGTCCAATGAGAACATACGTCTGTTTCTTGTCTAGAAAACGAACGAATAAAACAGCAAAGGTTAGCATTGTCCTAAACACGTTATAACTTCTTCTTGAAGTCGTGTCATTCCAGAAAACAGAACAAGTTTCTTACCATCAGAAAGTTTTAAAACTTTCTCTATTTTCTGTAAAGTTTGTTGTAGACGTGAATCCGTCATATCCACCTCGTGCCCCAGGTCGTCGAGTAAACTGTGAAATCAGAGAAAAAATTAAAAGGTTGATGTAACTGGAACGCTAGCTCCGACAGAAAATCTGAAGCCAAACTTGAAGGCCCAGTGTTTCCACGCATGTGAAGAACGCTCAATCAGTCAATCACAGTGGTTAATCGTGATAAAAACACGCGGGTTTGACCCCCAGTTTATCTGAAGGTAGCGTTGCTAGAGCCCCGTCACACTACTCTCAATTTTTGGTACCATACCACTTTTTGGTTCTTGGACTACCTAAATAGAGAACCAAAGAACCAAAAAAGTGGCACGGGTACCAATTTTATCCGTGCCGTACCAAAAATTGAGCGTAGTGTAAACGGGGCTTTAACTGACTGGAATGAAGCTGGGGTTCAGTCACAGGAACCACGGAGCATGTTTTAAAGTGAGGGTGTGTGGGAGAAAATGATGAAATGTGATGTAATTTTTCCGAAACAAGGCGTATTTTAATTTACGATTTTTGGCGCATGCGGCGAAAAATGAGGTCCCTGGATCAGACCAGATCGACATATGCCCTGAACGATTGAAACTAACCTTATCTATACTGGATAGCTCTATCACTTCTAGAAAGTTGTTCTAGCTAGAGGTCCAGTAAGGTTAGTAAGAAGGGTCGTCCCTTATTGCTCCTTGTTCACTACAAGAGGAAACCGTAGTTCCCCGGGGAATCTGAGGTTTTTTACTCAGGATAATAACAAGACAATCCTGAACAATATCTCGTGATATCTTACACATTCTGTTCGTCAAGTTCGTCTCCAATTCGTTGACTCATCGTTTTTAAAACACCCACACTGTGACCAACCAACTGAATCTGATCATCTTGTGAATCCATTATTAGCTACAGAAAAATATGAAAAATTATATTACGTTTATATTTTCCTGGAGTTGAGACACAAACCATGGCAGCGTATATCGCAATGGTACCTGTTGTTGTTGTTGTTGATCTTCAATAAAATCTTGGTTAGATCTTTCAATGTCTTGATCAAGGCGGGAATATTTGTTTGTGCTTGATCTACCGCTCGAACCAACCAGCGCCTGGAAATAAACGGGATTTAACGAGGGCATACAACAGGTTTGTGACATTTTTTTGGTAAAGGGGGAAATGGGGTGAAAGGGAAAAAAATTCGGATTAAGGATTTCAACAAGTTGAAATATAAGATGAGAGAAGCCCATTGGAAACCTGCAGGAAAATTTGGGCATGAGATTCGGGAATTTCCATTGAAATGAATGGGAATTACTCTATAACCTACCCCAGAACCCTATTGACCATGGGTGTCAGATGTTGGAGTCGGAGGTAATCGTGTTACCTGCAAGTGACTGGAGCTAACTGCACGCCTGGATCAGGTCTAATGTGCATGCTAGTACAGTAGAAAACTTCAATTTTCCCCAATATCTTTTTGCAATATTTACCGATTTAATAGATATCTCTTTTCTATAGCATTGTATTTTCACACTTTGTGTGGTTTGACTATTTTCCTGTTCTGTTACCAAATTTTATTTATCGAATCTCAAGCCGTTAAGCTCTGAATTATGTTTCCTATTCGGCACAGGCATGCTATTGACTTTCAGAACCCTCTTTGTATCAAAGCTGTTTGAAGACATAGGTGTGAAAACACAGGTATGCCAACTGTACTTGCATCCACTGCGGTGTTCAACCATGACTGATGGTTATGAAAATATTTTTAATAATTTACAAAATCCTCACCTGTCTATTTGATGATTGCAGTTTAGCTTGGGCAGCAGGGCTATTAACTGAAGCTTTAATTTCATTTAAATGTTGTTTTGTTTGTTTGACAAAGTTCTTTCTACTTTCTATTTCGTCTGGGCTAAGATTAAACTTCCTCTGGTTTCCTTCGACAATTTGTATCGTCTCTTCTAGGTCTTCTAAATCCCACTCGATACTTCGGATACTGTTGCGTAACTCGCTTGTCGTCAGGTTGTACTCTTCTCGTCCGACCGTGGCTGGGTTGTTTAGTAAGGACTTCCATTTTTCATGAACATCACTCACATTGTTCATAGATTTCTGCACCTCTCTGTTTTAAAATAAACACATAATGGAATGTAGAAGGAATATTACAATGCATGTAGAGATGGCAAAAGAAAGCTTCGGATTAATAGGGATACAACTAACATATATAACAAACTGTGCTAAAATATATAAGGAGAACTTTGACGTTTCAAGCGAAGCCCGTTTGAAAACAGCTGCTCGTCTCATTTGGTTGAGAAACAAGACAATCGAGTGGCTTTTTTTGCATACACGGATTTTGCTCTGCAGAGTTGCCTAAAATTTGGGGGTGGGGGGTGAACAAGGGGGCAAGCTGCAGCAGATGTCTTGGGGTGCTGCCAGGGCACAGGGTGGGGAGAGATGGGCAAAGCCTTGGAAAATGTTGAGACCTTTAGTCTTACTTAGTTCAAAATCTTCATTTCAATTTTAAATTTCTGGGGGGTGCCAATTTCCCTTGGTTTAGTGGAAAACTCTCTGAGGGGGTGCACCCCTCACCCTCTCCACTTCCCAGAAAATCGGTATAATGGTTTCATTCCACCAATATGCAGTTATTTCATTATAATTTTGTTCTTCCAATCTGTTTCCAGCTGTTGTAACACTGGATCAATAAGAGATCATTCCTACTGGACCTCCAGAAATCTCGAACAGTTTAGAACTGATAGAACTATCAAGTATAAATAAAGTTCATTCAACCAAACACTTGGTTCTTGGTGCCAGAGAGACTAGCCTGCTTCCCATACTATTTTAACAGTGAAATGCAACACACTGTTTTATCTTGTTTAATATCTCTAAGACAGGTAAGATAATACAGGTTTCTTCTCTTTATTAAACTGTTTTGTAAAAGCCGTCAGCTATTGAAAATAACAGCCTCTTTGCAAAATGTGTAAACACATTTGTTGTTGTGCAATGTAATGACAAACACAATGTCATTGTTGTTTCCAAACAGCAGAAATCAGCTGTTTCAGTAATTTTAGACTTCAATTAAAAAATTTCAGTATAAAAAAATTGCTGCTCATTGCCACCATGTCAGAAATATGTTTGCAATTATATCTGATGTTTATCTGATGGTGAATTAAGCTTAGATTTCAAACAAAACTCCTAGCATTAAGCAAAGCTTAATTACCATGACACACGGTGTCCAACAGTTAACATGGAGACACACTGTCTGAGACATGTGAGTGAATTTTCAAGACGGCAAACCAATTTTACACATTCCATAATTTAAATTTGAAAGAAAGCTGATAATAAGTAAACAATGTTTCATCATGTTAAAAAAATTAATGTGATCTGATGTGATACACAACTCACTGCTGAGTTAAACAAGGTTAATTTAAATCATGCAGAGGTAGTACATGTTCTTGAATGTGGACTTAATAATTAAAGTGATCTTATCTTGTACAGAATTCACTGCTGTAAGCATGGTTAATTCATACATACTAGGGTAGTACATGTTCTTGAACATGGGCTAGTGATAGAAAACCTACATTCGGCTATAAGGATGTAGCAAAGCCGCAAAGGTCCATCAGGAGGTTAGAGGCAGGTTGGGGCAACTTGTAATTATAGTTATTGTGCCAGTTCAGGAGGTATTGAGTCCATTGACTCTCATCCGGTTGAAACAGAAATTGGAGACATTTAAAAGGCCGCCCAAAGAGCCCTTTTGGTAATATTTTCAATTGATAGATAATAAAAATTCCAAATATTTGAAGACCTTTCAAGGGCTTTCAATCCATAATAATAGGGAATGCAAAGAGGGGATGCAAAGAGGGAATGGAAAGAGGGAATACATTAGTTTTAGAAAAAGGTTTATTTCAACAAATCGTTTCAGTGTTAAGAATGATAGGATACTTTTAAAACAAGCATAATTTTTTACAGCAATGTTCTCAATATAGGTAGCAGTCTTGAAATGCATGTTTCGCATTATATATATCGATGTGCAATATGCTTATGTCAATTTGTTACTGGGAGCAACAATGTTATTAATTATTTGTAGTAACTTCTATTCAAATATTACAAACATTAATGTCACAATTAGATGCAAACATGTAACAAAACGACTTTGTTTTTTTGTTTATTATTTGTTAAACTCATCTTGTAACTACTATTTGTTTACAGTGAAAAATAATTATTAAAAGATAATATCTACACTTAATATGTATCTACTTAATTAAATAAATCTTTGTTTTTAAATAGTTTTATTTTTTTACATAAATTTAAAACTCTGATTACTGCTAAATAAATCTACTGCAAGTAAAATTTTAAAGTAAACAAAGACTGCTGCCCTTTGCCCCCTTTCACGACACAAAATTTATCAAACACTTCAGAAAATCATGTTGACATAGCAAAAATACTTATTACATACTACATAGCACAGAAAAACACCACAAAACAATTTGTTTAGAAAGTCATCTATATAAAAAAATAAATATATCATATTCCACTAGCTTTATCAAACCCATTTTTGGCCTTTTCCCAATGTCCTTGGACCTTGGTATTATTTTACCGAATAGATTTGCAAGGTGTCGACTTTCTAATATTGGGAATATATTGCGAGTCTATAGTGATTGAGACAAGATTGATTGGCATGGTTTTATATCTCAAAACAAAGTTTTATACCAGATTTAAACGCCGAATTTGCGTGCTAGTGAATGTCTCACACAGTGATACTATAACACGATAAAAATATTGGCAGTCACGCAATGAAAACTGGCTAAGATTACATTTTATGCGACCATGATACGAATCACAACAAACGCACACATTTCAAAAATGCTCAAATAAATCGCATAAATCAGCCGCTTTTTAAGCTCAAATCGCAGAACTTACCCTTTCACAACAAAGAATGGATCCTCAAGAGACATGATTTTTCTTTTGATGTAAAGCTAAGATCTATAAAGTCATTAAATTCTTATAAAACGATATTGTTTCATTCAACTCGGACCAGACATTTTGAAATTTAATCGTAAAGGAAGGAAGTGCCATCAGTTTAAAGTCCAGCCGGGGGGACACCAAATAAGGAGCGTATGCCCATATATGGAATAATATGGACAACATGACATGTAGAGCTTTTATATATTTCCTTTCCTAATTATTTTTGCATTTGCTTCATTCAAACACCGCGATTGTTCAAATGCGGGGGAATTCTGCTCGGTTCAAACCATAGTGTGGGTAAGTCTGGTATTTAATCTTCTATTTAAGACATTTAATTGTGTTTTATTATAAACATTAGCGTTGTTTATTCGCGTCTCAAGTTGGTTTGCGTCTGGTCAAAATTTGGTCTTTGTTGTATTTCGCTCATATGATCATCACCTCTATGGCAAAGTATTTAGATTTCTACTCCGGACATGAATTGTATTAAAACCTCTTGGAGTTGTATGTAAAGTACTTTCGTTTGATTAATCAATAACCTGAGATTAATATCATTGCATAAAACTTGAAAAAAGGCAAAAATTGGACATTATTTCAAGAATGTTGCAACACACACAACCCCATACACCGGTTCTCTTGCTAAATTGCACTTTATTATATTCTGTAAAAGTATTACACAATTATGTGAATATTAGCGCCCACTGTGTGAACCCTATTTATGTTATTAGTAGCCAGTGTTTATGGTCATTCATTCTTGATATATTTATATTAAAAACATGTGTGCTAAAATTTTCATGCCTTGTGCCTGAAAAGCACTTTTAATCAAACAAAGAAGCTCGTGACCTAAGTAAGGTTATCAGTTATGTGTAAAACGTGTTTGCACCATTCTTTGTAATGGGACATTTGGTACTGCAACATTTGGTACATTACACATGTACCAAAATATACCATGGTGTACCACAGTTGAAAGCCTGTGTCATGTTAGACCAGTTGCCTTACTTTGCAATTTAATGCATTTACAATATTTTTAGCACAAAATGCCAAAGGTTATTATAATTTCCTTGTACAGATGATTGATTTATAAAGGGCGTCTATTTGGTTAAAACATGCAGCTGATTCTCATTATTTTTGGTTTGCTAATTTTCGTACTTGACATACAATATGCATTTTCAATGGTCTTTTAGTGGCTTGATTACTGACATACCCAAGAACTAACAAAATGCTTGGTAAACCAAAGACTAAAATTAAGTCACATGATGTCTCTAAGAAAATACCTTGTATAGTAAGATGAGGGTGTGAATGGGGTTAACTGACTACAGACATTTGCCTGAATTTTTGACTGACAACTGACAAAATATCCTAACTGACAACTGAGAAATGATGAATAAATGATGAGTCAGCATTTTGCAGTAACTGACTACTGACCACTGATCTAATATTAGATCAGTGCTACTGACAGCCTGCAATATATCGCACTGACAACTGACAACTGGCTTAAATTTTAGCTGACAACTGACTCCCAAAGACCCCCATTAAGACCCTCTAGTAAGATCCACCATGTTAAATATAGCAGGTTACAAGATTTTGTCAACAAATGTTTGCATACCAACAAGTTTATTCCAGCATTTTCTCTGCCCAAATAACCCTTGTTTTGCTAGAATAATAAGGTACAAATATGCCTGTGAAATAGTTGTGCTAACTAATGGAAGTTTAATGATGGGAACCATTGAATACTTTGCAAAATACAAAACAATGCTATTATAACTGCAAACATGATAAACATTTTCAAAATTGTTTATTTCAATCAACAATTTTGAGAATGTTTATTGTGTTTGGAGTTACTATTGTTTTGTAAATGTAAGTTTAGTCTGTGATATAATGGTGTATTACAGGAACCACTGAGTATTTTGATAAAATACAAAACAATAGCTACTCCGAAAATTGAAAGAATTTTGAAAATTTAACTTATTGTATCTTGTTACTTCACTACATATTAATATCATCATCATTTCATTTCCTGATGATGAGTATCTATTGTTTTGTATTTTAATGTGCATGTTTCCCTTGTTTGAATATGATAGGGTATTAGTTTTAGTCAACAAATGTTTGCTATGGAAACGTCTTGCCTAACAAGACTGCATTTCATGTACTCCATGCTTGAAGTCTCCAGTACATGTGGTTATGAAATGTATTGGTGCGAGGCAACTCAAAAACAAGTGATTAGTGTACCTTGTTTTTGTACTTAAATGCATTATCATATGTACGGTATATTTACAGCATAGCTTCAAAAATATGTAGTCTGTAGTTTAATATAGGGCCAAATTGCGTCAAAGACTTATTCATTTTCAAAAATGAAATATTAAATCATAATCTTTGTGACAGCTCAGCCACATTATGGTTGCCAAAGCCATGTTCGAACAGTTTAAAAAAGAGTTTCATGTATGATGCAGCTTTCATATGGAACTCTTTGCCAGAAATTATTAGAGAAAGCAAAACGCCATCAATTTTCGAAAGGAAAATTGCTACCCATTGTTATTAAAGCATGATTGTAAATAGTAAATTAACATACAGTATATTCTAGTATATTTTCTTTTTCATATATATGCATGTAATTTCTTACTACCTTTATCTTTTTTTGTAAATTTACTTTTGTTCACATGCCCATTGTGGAAAGCAGCTTTAGCTGACAATGTTAGCATGGTTAAATAAAGTTTATCATCATCATCATTGTCTACTTTGACATGGGTCTTTGTCTCCAAAATTAAATATTTTGAAATATTTTCGTGATCATTTGCAAATGGCTTAGAGTTTACATGAAATGCACTCTGGCTGCCCAAATATCCCTTGTTTGCTAGAATAATAGGATATACATATGCCTGTCAAATAGTAATATTGAATTCTGAGACCATAATTATAATAACTATGATAGGATATGTGTTTCTATCAACAAATGTTGGCATTCCATATAGCTTTTCAAAGATTTTACTTGCTTTTGTTTGTACAGACTGCAGTTGGCTATAAATATGTCCATCAAATGATCATATTAATTAACCTCGGGTTACAGGTCATAATTGATGTGATAGCCTTAAATGAGCGCATCTGGAACAGATTATGTGTTTGTGGGAATTTAAGACAGATTTGTAAGTGGATGATTAGACAGAAGTCATGTTATCTTGGCAAACCAGTTGGGTGTATTGTCATTGCACCAGACATTTGATTTGAAAAGTGTGGTGTGTCTGGTATTTCTGGGGTGTTTGTAAACAGCTTGATAAAGATTTGTGGAGTGTGTTGTCTTGTTGAAAGTATAAAGCTAGTTTGTCTCTTGTTTGTGAAGGTAGGGTTGCATGATAGACATGATAATGTGGTTGAGTTGAATTGTTAATTGGTAAACATTTCTTGTTGGGGGTCCAGTGTATTGTAGGTAGTATAATTCTACAATAAGCTGCTGTGGTTTGTGTCTGAACTACCTGAAAAAGATATCTCAAATGTGGTGGTCCAGTGTAGGTAGTATTCTACAATAAGGCCCAGTGGCATGCTGGGTACTATTTTTCTAGGGGGGCCAGTCGGCTATGAACTAATATAACCACGAACCGAGCGCCGCAGGTGCGAGGTTTATCTAGGGGGGTCCGGGGGCATGCCCCCCTGGGAAAATTTTTGAATTTAGGGTCTCTGAAATGCCATTTCCTGGACTTTGTGGGGAAGGTTTGACAGAAATCTGATGGTCAGGAAACGGGATTATAACTTCGAAATTTGCAATTTGGTTATAGAATTTAGTAGTAGTACTTGAATTGGGCAATGCTGACTAATTCCAGCGATTAATCTAATCCCAATTATATTCTCTACTGATCTAGTGATCTAAATAGATTTACAACTTACAGCTCCTTTATACAATAACACACGGACCCCACGCATATGCATTTTAAGGTTTCCTTGCTTGGCTGCCAAAAGGGCGCGTTTCAGCATCATCTTATTACTTACATTACTCATGAGTCATGATGTTTCTTGCACAAACAACTAAATTGCGTACATAACTTAAAATTATCATATAAAAACTATCTAATTTGCGCCGCTCTCGTGATGAATAATAAAGGGCATAATACCAGCCAAAAAAGGGCATAATACCCGTGACCGCTCCGAAACCTGACCAATATTCCGGCAATGAGACATTGCGTGTGATCACTGATCATATATGAACGATTTTGTGTGAGCCGTGAGGTAGGCTAGCAAATTAGCAAATACGGTTAGACAAAATAGTCTGCAATTTAATATATCACTTTGTTGCAGTCTATGCGTTTAGTCTGTCTATAAGCCTATGAATTAAACACATCTTTTCTTGGCGGAAGTAACTATATTTTTGCAAATGCGTTTTTTCTCACCCACTTTCAAATTTGGCGCCCCCTTTTCATTTTTGCGCCCTCCAAGAATTGCCAGCTGGGGGGGGCCGTGGCCCCCTGGCCCCCCCTGCCAGCACGCCACTGCAATATGCTGTCGTGGTTTGTGTCTGAACTACCTGAAAAAGATATCTCAAACGAATAAGCTGCCATGGTCGCCATGGTGTGTTTTCTTGTAGAAGTTTAAAATTTAAAGACTTTGAGATTGCCAGGAAATTGGTAGCGTGAGAAAGGAAGTCAAGGAAGGAAAGCTTGATTCTCAATTGATTTGTCAAAAAAAGTACAACTTGTCCCCTTGGCTGGATGCCCAATATTCTTATATGTTCAATTCAGTTGCAAGGAAGACTATTGACAGTATTGTAGTAAACTGTGTTTTAAAAATGTCTGTATGCTTCGAAGTTGTAGTGGATTGAAGAGGTCTATAGACTGTGTTAATTACTTCACTTTAGATATGAAATATCTTTCAGCCTTTGAACAAGCTGTAAGTTCACAAGTCTTGATAAAAACCTTTGATAGCTCTCCCCCCCACTCTTGGATAGCTCCCCCCCACTCTCTGGATAGCTCTCCCCCACTTTCTGGATAGCTCTTCCCCCCTACTCTCTGGATAGCGAATTTGCTTTAGAAAACGCCAGAAACGCAGTCCTGGAGCTTCCAATAATAGGCTTTTTCTTTGGAAACTTAGTATGACAGTGGAAATCAATGAGAAAAAGCTCTTAATTATAGTTTATAATTATTACATTTCAGAAAATTTTAACATTGAAGTTCAAATTTCAGGTAAAATCCTCCGACCCCCCCCCCCACCCCACCCAACTTCAGATGCTTCGCTACGTCCCTGATTCCATGTGATCATGTAGGGTCATTATTTGAGATCACAGACTAGGTTATCTTCACATTTGTGATATAAAACTAAATATCTTTAAGACTATCTTAAACTTGATCTGTGTTATAATGTGTTGTACTAATGACGTGAATGCTGGGTGAAAACTTGACAAAATTGTCAATCGTGATTTCTTGTTTGTGTGATTGTTATCCCACTGTTTGTCTGATTTGCGTCCCATGTTTTTCCCCAGATGCGTTTGTTATCAAAACGCCCTGATTGACTTGTTTGTTTGTTTTAATTCCTTTGTACAAAAAATGAGTAATTCGTCTGTACAGCACAGCAGATGGTGTTCAACTTCAGAAATATAGACTGCACGT